ACGTAAATCGTCTTCTTTTTTTATTGTCGATTAATTCTAATCTTTCCAAAATAAAACAAATTAGTTTTAGTCGTGTATTTTATTCGATGTCAACGTTCAAAAAAAAAAAAGGAAAGAAAATTTCTAAAAATTTTTTTTCAAGAAATTACTAGAAATAGCTATGGTAGAAATGCTATGGTAACTATTGTTAAAACGAATATTCCGGATACCAAATACCTGATTATCCGGTTCTTTCTTGACACATAAAATATTACTCGTGTCCTAATCGATCTGTCTAGTTTCCCATTGTTTTCCATTGTTTCCCATCATTAAAAAAATTATCAGGTTAATGGAAAATAAAAATCTGAAAAATTTATGATCGTACTTGTATGGATCATAGTGTTAACTTTACTATTAATTTTGAAAGAAATATTGTTGATTCAAAACATAGACTATTTATTACCTATAAATTGTGATTTATTGATATTTCTAATAAGAAAAATAAATATATCTTATTCGAAAAAAGGAAGAGAAAGTAACAGTTTTATAGTTTTATTATCGTAAGACAAAGACATAAACTGTTTGAAATATTGTAGATTTACCAGAAACTCAAACAAAATATATCTGGTATATCCGATGGGTCAGATAATAACATCTCTAATAAGTATATACATTTGTTTGTGCATTAAACCGTAATAAAATTGTATTCGTAACAAAGACGAACCTTTTTTCTTTCTCTATAGTTCGTCATATTTTCTTTGTATTTAACTCTTAATATATAAAAAAATGACTATATTGAATTAATATATTGGTTTTATCAGGTTTAAATTAGTTCAGGTTTAAATTAGTTTATCAGATTTAAATTAGTTCAATATATATATATTATTTCAATATATATATTGAACTAATTTAAACCTGAACTTTTGTTAATTGTATCAAATATATGTTGACATTTAATAACAATGTATTACATTTAGAAAGATGAACGTAAAATATGAGAACGAAAGGTAAGAAATAATAATCGATAGATAAAACATTGTCAAGAGATAGACCGGCTGACCGAAGGACTTTAGAAAAGGGGCTTTTCGTTTACCGATCGACGTAGAACTTTGTGTCTATCGAACTAACGGATTGACGGGAGCCCGGAACGCTTTCAATCCCGTATTATCCGAAGCACGTGTTTCGGCAGATGCGCTTAAATCTTGCCTCGAGCAAAAACTACCACGATTGTCGAAGCCCTGCGAAATCATTCGAAGCGTAGAACCACAAGAACAAACTACTTCCCGACAATTTCGAACATGATCCAATGAGTAAGTACAATTTTTCTTTCTATTCATATATATATATATATATATATATATATATATATATATATATATATACATATATATATATATGTATCAAGTCATGAATTGCATATGCAGAATACAAAAGTGAGTTTACGATTACTATGCAACGCGTTCAATAATTTAAGAGAACTAAAGTAAACAAAAATATCGTAATTATACTAATCTTAAAGGTATGCGAATGCAGCCCGCATATCAAATAAACTCTTTTTGTTTACTTTAACTTTCTCATCCCGATAAACTTACTACTACATAGTTCGGTCTTCCACTAAATCTAGGATAAATTTCACGAAAGACTCGCATAAGGATGTTTCGAAGAAACTTGGAAGAGGTGCATCGAATACTCTGGATGTCATAATGCGCGAACGTATTTACGATTACGCTTATATCACGGCGAGTGAATCAATAAATACCCAGGCTGACGCGATACAGCAGCGCAGGATACATACGCATATACTTACCTTTCACGAATCCACCCACAAAATACTAGCCGTCGAGATGGAGTAACATTTCGCAGATTGTAGCCGCTTGCTGGCTGCCGGTCGACGTATCAAATGGGTCAGCATGAAAAGCGTTATGTTACGCGCTCTGGCCTTCCTTCAATGTCTCGAAAAACGATAAATTCGACGATGAGACTCTGCGAATGAGAGTGTTACCACACGAAAATAATTCACCGTCGTTTGTCACTTTGACGTTCTCCATGTTCAATTCTCAACGTTTTCGAACAATGAAAACTTTCGAGTTTAGTTTTAGTTTCGAAATTTCATCGA